TTTTGATACTCAGGTCGTTCTACCACTGGTCTATATCCCCAGCCATTTTGACTTTTTATTTTGAGACCAGGTCTTGCTAAGTTGCTGAGGCTAGCCTTGAACTTGTGCTCTTCCTGCCTCTGCCTCCCGGGTCACCTCCTGGCTCACTGGGATTACAGGTGTGCACCATCACACCTGACCTCCTGAGTTACTTCAGGTCTAGTTTTCAGCCTGGCTTTGAGAACACTGAAGTGGAAGCTATCCATATTTTCCAGCAACTGGAGATACTTCAGGACTTAACCTGAATTACAGAGGAATTGGCTTTTAGGTAGGATAGGGCTCCAGGTCACAATCATAAAATTAATTAATTTGTTTTTCTTTTGAAAAGTTTTCCAAAGTGAGTTTTATTCCCTGTTTTCCCCTGGCAAATGGGACCTAGATTTGGAGGAAAAGTGTCTGATGGCCTTTTCTGTGCCTTTTAGTCTCCCCCGAACAAAGTCAAAGAAGCCGTGAAGGTGGCCATTGATGCAGGCTATCGCCACATAGACTGCGCCTACGTCTATCAGAATGAGAATGAGGTGGGAGAAGCCATCCAAGAGAAGATCCAGGAGAAGGTGGTGAAGCGGGAGGACCTCTTTATTGTGAGCAAGGTACGTATGGCCCATTTGGTGGGAGGACTGGACTTCAAGGCAGGCAGAAGTATGTGGATGTGGTCAGTGCCAAGAACCCTCCCAGCCTTTCCTCTATGTCCATGTTAACCCCAGCTCTCTTCATGTGGGCCTTTATTTCGTCCCTCAATACAACATCCACACGAGTACTGACATGTGAAAGACACTGCCATAGTCCCACCCACCTGAGTGGGGCTGGCTCCAGTGCCCTGTCTTCCCTGTTTTCTATCAATGGGATCCCTCTGCCCAGTGACGATCAGAGGCTAAGGGTGCAAACAGTGATGGATCCTGACGCCAGACCTTCAGCACTGTGGTCTCAATGGGTGTTGCACTGAGGTTCTTAGTCAGAGGGTTTTGGAAAATGGTGGGAGCATTTTTTATTATCATTTAGAGATTTCTTTTTATTTCAAGCCAGTAAAAACTGTGTTATAAAGTGTATAACAAAGAAGGAAAGGGATAATTGTTACATGAAGGAGTTGAAACCTGCTGGATCCATATTAGAAGCAATT